TCGGTGTTTTCTTGGATCGTCGTGCACGTGGCAGTCGGCAGGACGAGTTTGGCCGAGCGGGAGCCCAGCAAGTACACTTTGTTGGCGGGTCGGCTTTTCAGAAAACACGTACCGGACGTCCCAGACTTTTCCCACGAATACACCGTGCATCCAGGCGTGTTGCCGCAGTCGGCACAGCAATTGGTGGCGGAGCTACGTTTGGTTTGCTTGAGGTCGTTGCCAGCGTAGTCGGTGTTCTCTTCGATTGCCGAACAGGTCGTTTGGGCGGACGCTGTGACTAGGAGCAGCGCCGCCATTGCCGCAAGGCACGCCACAAACGTCGACCACTTCATGCTGGAGAAGGGGTAAAGTTAAAAGTGGCCAGAGTTGAGGAGCAGTGCGGCACGACTGACGAGCAGCAGTTCCTCTGCTATACATTGCAGCTGCCAGATGAAAATCTTCAGTCTTGATATTACTGTCCCCATTTCATTCTAATTGGACGTCAAACGGATGAACGGATTTCATTGGTTAAAATTGTAGCTGCAATGCCCCCAGCCGCCGCGGTCGGTCGGATTACTTGAAGTATCTGTCAACTGCGACAGAGGGCCCACAATGACGCGCATCACGACGTCTCTGGCATGCAGAGGCGGCAGTTTAAATGGTTGATGGTGAGGTACGGCTTGATGTATTGCTTGCATTTCCTCTGTGGTGTGTCGAGTCTTTGGTCTACAGTTGACAGGATGCCCTTCCTGTTGCGACTTCACACGACTAGAACCTGTAAAGTTGGAAGTGCGAACTGGTCTTCTCAACGGTGTATCGTGTGGAAACGTACCTGTCAGTGTACCGGCCGGCTCGAAGCGTGGTAAAAACTTTACGCTTGGTTTGCATCGCGCAATTCACGTTCCGCGGCTGAACGCAGGGGGAGTCATGTTTCTTGTTTGCGAGCACCCAAGTTTTAAAAAAGCTTCATTCTTTTTGTTGTGGTGTGTGGATGTTGACCACCAAAATTTCGTTTCGGCACTAAGCTGCAACTTCGAAATTTAATTTTTTCTACCACGTGCGACATTGTTTTTCATCAAATTTAGGTGCAATTGGATTTATGGAGCCGCATCGCGTCGATGTGTAGCTGTAATGGATAACAGTGGAAGCATGTATATTCCATCGTTTGACGAACTGCAGCAGCTCACGCGCCAGAACGCAACGTTCGAGCCGCGTCAGATGAACTCGAATGTAAAACAATCCTCCTGTCTACCTTTTGGGGTGGTTTGAGTTCTGTAAGGGTGGTTTTCACATATTGCTTGGGTGGAATCTACGTGGAGTCCATTTGATTCGCTATTAATCTCAAGACAAACCCGTATTCAGCAATTCGATTCGTTTAAATCAAATAAGCATTCTATATTAGCCAATGAAACATCGCTATATGCTTGTGCAGTTGACACGACCGAAAATACTAACGTTATTTAAAGTGTTTACAAAGGACAAATCCCACCGACCGATCGTCATCCACCTGGTGGTCAGGACGACCTGAGTCAGTGACGCCATGTGGACAACAGGCCGCTGGTGCCCTTCTGGCCACTTTAGAGCGCGCAGACACCTTCCCAGTACTCTGGCAATCGACGCGACCGCCAGCCGCTTTGCATCGCATGCTGCGTGGACCGGTTGCTTGGACGTAGAGTACGAATGCGGTGAAGGATTCCATGCCACATTCCTGGTCTTGCAAGCCTTGGCTCGCCTCGCCGAAGCACAACCTGTGCGAGGCAATGGGCCGAGTCGTGCGATGTCATCATGGGACTACCTCTCCTGTGGGAGGTGTACGTAATGCAAAGTCGACGTTTCGCCCATCCACCTTCTCCATCGGCGTTGTCGGTATGATCCTGAGCGAGTAAGAATCGGGATGGGTTGACAAGCGACGAGATACATCCACGCCAATTTATGCGCGGCACGTACGTAGTCACAATGGTCCTTACGACCTCGTCGCTGGCTGGCACTCAACCGATTTCATGTGTCGTTGAATCTGCGACACGGTTCGTTGCGGCCTTGGTATGCGAAATTGACGCCGGGGATGAGATCGACAAGGATCCAGCTCGACTGCTGCTTGGGAGCGAAGTCGTGGCCACGGTGCAAAACGCGGAGAAGTCTGCTGTTAGATTCACCAAGTTGAGCTGGTACAACGATCGCATCGTCTACAACAGAGGCACGTCGCCTCTGCCGTCCACTCTATGATGTGAAATAGAACGAGAGCACTTGCATGAGCTAGAGCGTCGTGCTTAATACCCGTCGTGGAATGGCGGGTGCGCCGCTGTTGCGTTGGCGAATTGTGCGCTCAGCATGGTACTGGTCACTCCACTTCCCCCAAGACGAGAGCTTTTCACGGCGCAGCCCCCAGTTCTTCGACCGAGTCCACCCTTCCCTCCAACGTGGCTTGTGTCCCCTCCTGGACGCATCACACCGTGCTTGATGCAAATTCCGCACGAGCATGATAGTGGACGCTCGTCAACCACAGACACATTGGCTACACACCATTCACTTCCGGCGAGTGGTGTTGGTTGGTGGCGTTCAGGCGTCGATGCTAAAACGTCAACCATCGCAGCTTCCATTTGCACTGCGGTATGAACAGGTTGCGCTGTCCACGAGTGCCAAGTGCTGCGTGGCCGACGGTACGCTGATGCTGACTGTTCAAAAGTACATTTGCACTCGAGGAGTACATATGCCATTGAACGTGTTCTATGCACCTCTTCTGAGAGAAATGTCCCTCAGTGTTCATTTGTAGACATTCAACAACCGTCGATTCCCTACAGATCTGGACTCGGTGCAAGATCGACCAAGCTTCGATATCACCAACTCGAGCCAGAGGGTTGCGGTTGCGAGCACTTGGTTGCAACGCCCCGACTTTAAACAGCACCCATGCACGGGTTTGAATGTCCAACACGTCCACGCAACTGAACTCGCGTTGGCGTCCTTCCTGTCCTCGGTGTATAGCCCGCCGTCCAGACTCAGGACACTGTCTGCTCGTTCGCGACACGCCGCCGAAGGCTCTGTGACCAACCTGCTCATAAGCTCTCTTTGACCTTTATTCGACTGGTTGAAGGTGAACTACACGGATCTATCACTCGGACACATCATTGGGCTGCGAAATTTGTCGGCGTACAACTTCGCCATCAATCCTTCCTTACCCAGAGTATCTGTTCAGACGTGGCAATGGCTTGTGAATTCCGCGGCAAGACGAGAGCGAACGAGGTCCCGACGGCGGTCGCAGTGCAATTTAAGCAGGGAGCCGACACTGGTGACTAATTCGCTGGCATAGCGGTCAACTCGATCGTTCTTGGGCAGGTCCTCCTTCTCTTGAGAACAGCGATGTTTCGAGGCATTAAAGTCACCCCCCGG